TTAAAAAAAATTCATCATGAACATGGACATGTATACGTTTTTTATGACTTTCCGTTTCTTAATAAACATGAGGTCAAATACTATATCTATATAATTATACTTCTTTTATAATAATTATATATAGACTGTTTGTTTTTACGTTTGAAATCTGAAATCTGAAACCAATGAGAGATCGAGAAGATTACCAGAACACCAGCTTGAGTCTGCGATGTATGAAGAACACCAGCTTCAATCGATGAATGGGACGAGAGCGGATGAGAGCGACGTAAAGGAGGCGGATGAGAGCGACGTAAGGAGGCGGACAAACAAATAAGAGGTATTAAGAGCTAGGGTTACCACTTAAAAATTCAGAGGAAACCTTATGAATTCGGCTCTTAATTTGGGGGAAAAAACAAACGATCTGAAAGTCTATATGTCTGACCGATTCAGACATAAGAGGAAATTAAGAGGCAAATTTTAAAAAACAAACAGGCCTTAAGTCTTAGTTGATCGTTTCATTTAATTTAAATTTAAAAATAAAAAATAAATACAAAGTCTATTTCATTTTATAATAAAATAAAAAACCAAACTCATTCAAAGATATGATTTACAAGATGATTGATTTATATTTTAAGCAACCAAAATGTAACACATATTTTTGTGACAATTTGCTCAAATTAAAAAGGGAAATAAAATTTAGAAATTGTTGATTGCCAAAAAGCAAACAACCAAAATATATTTCATAAAAATATGATTTATTTTTTTAATTTACAATAAAATAGAAAAAGACTACGATATTTCATGGAGATTAATTGAGCACGTCTCCATGGCCAGGTGAACACATGCCCATTTCCACTTTGACATATCATATATTCTATTTCATTACTTTATAAATTTATTATATCTTTTCTATCAAATAAATATTTGTCAGATGTATCAAATAAACATCTGTCTTTTAAATTATGTATCTCAAAACACGTAGATCATTAAATCACATCAGATCAAAATTTACGAGTTTCAGGTATATATAAATTCAGCATATATTTAGATTTTTTGGATATGTTTTTTATTCTAATAAATTCACCAAAACATTTTTTTTTCAAAATGAATAAAGTGGGATAGAGGGTATGAAGCTCTCCAAATTTAGAAAATTCTCAAATAAAATTCTATTATATTTCCAAAGCATGGTAGGTTTTTTTCTTCCAAAAATGGAAGCAGGTTTTTTTTAAATATGTCATTCCAATTAAAAAAAACGCATATATTTCATTTATGAAAAACCTTTTCCAAACAAAAATATTTTCAACCTATACAAACCGACTAATCTATAGTTCTACACAAAAAAGCTATATCAACAAGATCATCTCTAAAATAGAGAAAATCAATGTTTTTTTCTCTACAATACTCTAAAAGTGTTCATATCTTGTTCTCTAAAATAAAGAATGACGGACAAAACTCTAAATATAAATAATTTTTTACAACTCTAAAAGAATAAGTTTGTTATTCATTCCATCAATAAAGATTGAACTAATAACTAAAAAACATGTGGCCTAACGGTATGTGAGTTTTGACCTTACCAAGAATGAAGAGAATGTATGAGTTTATTTGTTCTATTTGTCATATATATATAAATATTATATATTTCAAAAAAATTGAATTAATATCATTTTCTATATAAAAAATTAAAATATATTAAAATCATAAAAGTAAAAATATTATACTTAATCAAGATTTTGTTACAATTACATATAATTTATTTTAAAAAATTTAACTATTATTTTTAAAATTAAAAAAAAAATGGATTAAAGTTGTTCTGTCGTTTAGATTATATGGACTTTATCCGTACCTTGGGAAGCGGATAGTTGGCCTTTGGACGGCGCCAACAGATGCTGCCACTCATTTTCCACCTACTTGGACCTACCATTTGTTGCCATGTCATGCATGGGACCCACAACCAACCCAAACCAAATCTTCATGTGTTCTGGACTCCCCAATTTCTCCTCTTTCTTTTTTTTCTTTCAATCCTCTTTGACCACAGAGAAAAAAAGGTCAAACTCCTCAATTTTTACAAAAGTCAACTAATTCAAGACGGAGCTCCTCAAACAAAACTTTTCCATTTTAACTAAACTTTTTTTTTTTTAGTTTTGTTTCAACAAATACTTTAAAATAAAAATATATACTTTTTAAAATATCGAATTTATTTTCTCTATTTTTGAGAAATAGAATACAAGCTATTGGAGATGCTTGTCTCCAATTCTTTTGAAAATATAAATCATGAACTGATATTACTTTGACTTGTATATGATGTAAAATAAAGCGTTGTTGATCCTCATGAAATTGCTTCGATTTTAACAGTAACATTTAATCACACTGATTAGTATACATCATGCTTTTGTTGAGAATTGATACGGGCCAAGAGCCTTCGGCCTAAATATCAAGAACGTGCCAAACCAAGAAAGTGTTCACAATAATAACTAAAACACAAAAAGGTTAGGTTCTTTTGTCTTAATGATCATAAACATGAAGAAAAAAAATCTCCTTTTTCTGTGTGTAATTGAAAAATTAAATTCAATAGCCTTGCTTAAATTTTCTAAAATAAATTCAAGAACATAGTTAAATTTTCGCCTTGTGATTTCATCTTTTAGTCATTTTTCTTGTAAAATCACCAACATTTCACTACATTTGCAAGTGGTAAGTCTGCAATTTGCTAAGAGGTCAAAGTGTAAAGAAAAATAATGTTTTTCAACCAAGTCCGCAAGCACATAGATCAAATTTGTAAAATAAAAATAGGGGCGCAAGTTGCACTTCCGCAACTTGCGGAGGTGTTAGGACGAATTTACATGTTTGGTCTATGCACTTGCATTGGTTTATAAACTTCTTTTTTACATTTTGACCCCTGCATAAATTGCGGAACGGCCACTTGCAGAGGAAGTAACATTTTGGTGATTTTAAAAGAGAAATTACTGAAAATGACTATTTTAATTAATTCCCCCCTAAAGGCGAATCATCGTGTGATAAACATAAGAAAAAATTTGAACTTTTGATCACTTTTAATCTTATATTCATCCATGAATTGTGTTTTAGAAATAACTGACTAGGTGCATCTCGGTGCACCTCATTAATGTTGACATTCGATTAAGATCAGGGTCGTCCATGGGAAGGGCGAGTCGGGCGCACGCCCAAGGCCTACAAAAAACAAGGGGTCAATTTTTTTAGAATTTAGCAATATAGTAATAGTCAAAAAATTAGTGAGTAAAAGATTCATAAAATTTTTGTGTATCTAGTAAGACCAAAAAAAAATTTGTATTATATTAAGGGTCCAAATATTTATTAATGAATTATACTGAAAAATAAAATATTTAAAAATTAAAATTTTAATTGGTTGTTTATTTTATAGAGTTGTTTATTGTCTCTCCAAGTTTTTTTATCTGGTACCAAAATCTAAAACCTCTTGCTTAGAAAACATCATGACCATTCTCTAGCATGTATCAATATGGGCTTCTGATTCCAAGATCGATGGTGTAAAAAAGTTTCTTTTAATGCTAAAAGTTTAAAACGATGTTGGAAAAAAACATTAATTCGAGGTGAGATGAAAATCCAACTGATTTTATTGATTGCATACAATATTACTCAGAATAGTCAACACCGTAACTCGAATTAATGTTCATAAACATATTAAAGGTGTATCATAGGATGTGTGATGTCCTGTAAAAATGATACGAGATATATATTAGTTTAAAAATAATTATTGATTGATTTTGAATCTACAAATACTTGAAAAAACGATTTTATTTGTGATAATGAAAACAATATATTAAAGTTTATTTTATATTTTATCTAGGACCGGTTTTTATATCTCGTTCTAGATCTATAAAATATCAAAAATAAACATGATTAGAATTGATCCAATAATAAAAATATTTTATTATAATTGTCACAATTACTTCCATTTTAACCCAACCCAACCCTCCCCTACCCTAAAATATCATGTAGGTTAATATCAAATTGAAACTTATTGTAAGTTATTATTATACTATATTTTTAAAGTAGATCTAGTTTGTAATTTAAATTTTTCTTTTTTACATACCTGGTTGAGAAATATAATTTTTTTTTATAATTCTGGATAAAAAATGTAAATTTTTACAAACATGGATTTTTGTAAACTTATAACTACTTTAGTAAATATTAGAAGCTTACTTGCACAATGCAGCGAAATATATCTCGATTTTAATGTTTCATTTTATCTGTCAATATAATACGGTTTTACGTGGTTTTAGAAAACGATAATATTTTTATTTTGAACGAAATATAAATTTGAAAAAAAATGTATCGATATTAATATTAAATTAACTATTTAAAAGTTCTCATTTTCTGTGTAATTTCTTTAATTCAGTTTTTTACCATAATTTAATTTAGACTTAATAATATAATTTTTATAAATTAAATATTCTATTAAAATTCAATAATTATCCTAATTATATTTTAATTTTTTATATTTAAAATGATATATTTATCATGTATTTGATTATGTTTATCTAGAGTTACTTAAATGAATTAAAGCTTTAATAAGTTGTAGTTATGCACAATTTACTTGTAATATTAAATTTTAAGTAATATGCATCCATATACAATATTTCATACATAAAATATTATTTTTAAAAGTTTTTGTCAAATATTTTATAATATAGAATAGATGAAAAAAATGACTTAAAAGATAAAACCTAAAAAAATAATTATTTTAATTAAAAAAAAAACAGTTAAAGTTAGAGAGAGAATATATGATTTATTTAGCAATGGAAGAAGAAGAAAGCGGTTGACAATCCATCCACATCCACATGGTTTGAAACATGAACCCAACTTGGCCAAGTAATCTCACTCGCTTCCTCCACATGGCGTGGATAGAGATAAAACCAGCTATCATTCGCCGCTTTCACCTTCTTCAATTCAACCTCATCTTCCTTATTCACCTTCCACTTCCACTTCCACTTACACATATATAATCATCCAACCCACAATTCAAATCTCACAACAATATGACCACTTATACTTCTCAATCCAACTGGCTTCGTCGCAATTGCATCGGTAGAGGATCTTTTGGAGTCGTCAATCTTGCTGTTCATCCATATCATGGTGCTCTCTTCGCCGTTAAATCCGTAGAGAATAACTCCCGTCCGTTTGTTGGGTGTTTGGAGAACGAGATTCGAATTTTGAAATCACTCTCGTCGCCCTACGTCGTTGGGTATCTCGGAGATGATGTGACGTCTGAGTTTTCTTCCTCCTCCTCCTCCTCGGTCGTGTACCGGAATTTACATATAGAATACATGTCGGGTGGGACAGTTGCTGACGTGGCGAAACTTCTTGATGGTGATGGTAGTGGTGGTGTGAATCTCCGCGGTTACACGCGGTGCATCACGGCTGCGTTGAGCTACATTCACGCGAGAAACATTGTTCATTGTGACGTCAAGGGGAAGAATGTGTTGATCGGAGACATTCCTGGTACGGCGAAGCTTGCCGACTTTGGATCGGCGATTGAATTGGGCGTTTCGGTTACCGGAACTCGTGGGAGTCCACTGTGGATGGCGCCGGAGGTAATTCGCGGCGAGTATCAAGGACCGGAGTCCGACGTCTGGTCATTAGGGTGCACGGTGATCGAGATGTTCACCGGAAAGCCAGCGTGGCAAGACAGAGGAGCAGACACTCTGCGTCAAATCGGGTATTCCGACGAGTTACCGGAGTTTCCAACTCAGGCGCCGGAGGACTTACATGATTTCCTTGACAAGTGTCTGAGAAGAGAGCCAAGGGAGAGATGGAGCTGCGATCAGCTGCTACACCACCCATTTTTATCATCCTGCCCTTCCACATCACCACCACATATGACAACCAAGTTATCACCCAGATGCGTATTCGATTGGTCCTTTTCAAGCTCCTCAAAGGAGTCAACGCTCGAGATTTACCAACTGGACACACAAAACTCACATGCGAAACAGAGGATTGGAAAATTAGCTTCAAACTCAGTGGCAAATTGGGAATCAGAAGGTTGGGAGGTGGTGAGGCACGTAACTTCAGAATCAGGTGAAACGACGTCGGAACATGATGATTCCATCAATGAGGAAGCAAGTGTCAGTGGAAGTGGAAGGGCAAATTGGGAATATACAAATTATAATGCCAGTTATGATGATGATCTTGAAAGTACAACCAACAATGCACAGGATACAAGAGGCTTTGGGAGATATAGAGATAGATACAGATGTTATATGTATGTATTGATACAGAAACTGTTCCATAATTTAAAATGTATCCAACATATTTACTATACGCATTGGTTTACTTGTACGACAAGTCTTCTTAAATATTCCGTTTTCACTGCATTCTTTATAGGTAAAACGCCACTTTAGAGAAGTATAAAAAAAATAATTTTAATAAGTAAAAACTAGATGTTATTAAAAATTTAAAATATTATTATAATAAACTTTTTTTTAAAGTAACTTTTTGATAAGCTAAAGAGGTTTATTGGTTAATAATTAATATTAAATATATAACTACTTAAATAACAAAAGTTTAGTAATTCTAATTTTTTTAAGGGTGTCTTAAGTGATACCTAAATTAATCCCGATAAATTATGATAGTATGAAATCAGTCATGATAAATTCAGTAGCCACAGTTGTTATGTACGTTTGGAATTGAACGCTTCTTTTTATACATTAAAATATATTTCCTCCATTCTAAATTGAGGGGTCACTTACTAAACATTTATCTATTAAACATGGTAAAAATAAAAAATCTTATGAGGTAAGATTTTAATTTGATTTTTGGAATAAAAGATTATGAGAGAATGAATCTATAAAGCGATTTTGGGCGGTGAGTGGGTAATGATTTGACACCATCCTATTCCTGGATCGAAAAGTAGTAACATAAATTAACCATTGACCAAAAGTACTTTTGTCTATTTATTTTATAACTTTAAATTATATTAAAAAATAATAATTTTCCCAAAGCTCGATTGTTTCTTTTTCGAGGTTAATTTCAACTTTATGGGTTTCAATCATTAAGCAGGGTATGTTGATTGTTTTTTCCCCAAGTCGACGTTTCACTCTCACTCCTATCAACGAAGACCCAAATCACGTGGGGTTTCTATCTCTACTTGTAATGTAATTCAGAAACCAACTGGATTGACTATTCTATGCACCTTTGAGTATGGAAGAAACGGAATGGGACTAGAAGCTTTAAGATATGGTAATAATATTTGTACTTCTTGTTTTTCGTTGGACATCAGGTCTGAATTAGACTATTCGAATCACATTATGCCAGATTTTTGTATGAATAATGAGTACTTTTCTTTGTATGGGTACAACATACTAGATACAAAAATTCCATTGATTTTTGGTATCTAGATGTTTCCAATACCCTTGATTGGGAACATCTGGAGAGATGGACAAATTTAGTATGTTAATGGGAACTAAATTTAGTATTTGAAGCTTACTTATGTGTTTCGTTTTCATGTTTTTATAAAGCCATTTTACTCATTCTATATCTAAAAAGATTCGATTCTGGAGCCTGCTACTGCAAAAAAAATCGTTATGAAGATCGTCCATGTTGTTTTACTGTAACATTCTTTGATTTTTTTTTTAATGTTGTCATGTTGAGTTAGCATGGACTTTACACAAGAAAAAGAAAGAACAATTGATTTTGATGTTTTTTTAGCTGAATTATTGTCGTCATGCTGTTTTTTGTTGGCGATGGAATTTTAAGTCTAAAGGTGTTTCTAGGATTCTCATTATGACCATGCTATTGTATCTAATGTCTCTAGGGCTCCATTTGATTTGGCATCACAAACTTATGTTTTTGTGGTTTTGTTCCACTTGGTTATTGTCTTGAAGACCATACTCGGTAAGATTCCATTCTTATGGTTGCACTTATCGGATAAGATTTTTGGCACTTATAATATTTATCCGGGTAGTGCATACCGGGTAAGTGTTTAGTAAACGACCCTTTAGCTATTATTCAACAACATAATTGTCTTTTAAAGTTGTTTTATAACTTAAATTTGGAGTATGTAATTAAGAAATTACAGCCTTTAGGTTTTATTGTTTCTCTATTGTCAATTGTAAAACCATAGAGTTATAATCGTTTAGTTTTGTTGTTATCTTTCTTAAACGGGCCTCTTTACTTTATAACTTGAATCTGTCTGCAGGAATTCAGGTCTGCAACCACTTTTTCAAATTGGGAGAGATTGCTTTCACATGAATTTAGATTTGCAACCACTGTTTCATCATACGGTCTTTCAAGTTATCACAAAGATTGATTTTCACATAATATTCTGATATGAGCTTCTTGATTTCAGCTTTTGCATCATCTAGCACTTCATAAACTTTTTCAGGCATGTTAATTCTTTCGACCTTCACATCTAAGGTGTGGAAAGTATCAGGTTCAAAGCTTTAATGGTGCATCAAGACACTTTAGTTTATCCCATTTGGAAACAGAACCTCTTCTAGAGAAGAAGATGAAAGAATCGTCTTCGAAAATGGCAGATCAAAGTAGCAATTCTTCTGCCATGGAAGGAATTGTGCCCTATTAGAAATGGCGGATCAAAGTAGCATACCAATAATTTTTGAATTTGTTTGTCAACTCTACATTGAACCAAAAAATGAGTTATTTTTTGTATGATGTAGTAGTAATTAGATTAGATTGGTTTAAATATATTGGATTTTAAACTTTCGTATGATTTTTCATGGATCGACTGCAATTTGAAACCATAACTCTTATTTATTCAAAATGTATTAATATGTAAAGAGCCTAAGATTCAAAATTGTTTATATTTTTAATTCCCACTGCATTGCGCGGGTACACATCTAGTTCTTAAAAATTCAAATTCAAGGGTTTTGGAATCTAAAAGCATCTCCGGTAGTTATTTTATTTTAGAAAATTTAAAGATTTAAACTAACTTTTTTCTAGAATAAAGAAAAAACAAAAAAAGATAATAAAAAATATTCAAATTTAGAGTAAGAGAGAGAAAATTTAAAAAAACTGTTGGAGATGTTAAAACCTTAGTTTAAGTGGGTTTATAATTTAAAATGTTTATTAATATTTTATGATCATGATTATTTTAGAGAATACTTTTTTTCAATCCTCTCGAATAAAAATAAAAATAAAATTATAATGTTTTTTTAAATAATTTAAATTTAAAAAAATGGCCCAAAATGTAACACTTTTTAGCTTTTCGACTTTTCAAATACTTTATTGGCTCCGTGTCATGAAGTTCACTACCCCTTACTTTTTCATGTCCATTATTATCCTTTAAACAAAACGATCAACAAATCAAATCCATGGGTAGGTCTGTAATTTCATCTCCAATTTCTTCACCGTCTTTCTTTCAAATTCTTATCCATTTTGTGGACAAAAAGAGTCCATCACGTTCTGATATTTCCCAATAAACATTAACAATTAACAAGAATAAACTATAAATTTGATTTATGTGGTTTGTTAAAAATAATATTTTTTATTTTTATTTAGATTAAATTACAAGATTGTTATTAAAAGACTCTGTTAAATTAAGAGATTTTTGTTCTTTTTATTGATTTTTTTGTCTTTTATATAACAAAAAACCATATGGTCTAAAATCATAAAATCGGTTTTGATTGGGTAAAAGAAAAAAAAATGAATGAAAATACCCCACTTTTAACATGATCTTTTAACAACCGCTAAAGGAAATGATCAAATCTAGATATTTTTACAAATTACGATGGTAATATTGTAATTTCAAAATTATAAGAATGAAAAGTGTTATTTCAGACAAACCATAAGGACTAAATGTGTAGTTTACTCAAATAATAAAAGTTAATAAAATCATGTCGAATCAAATATGTAAAAAAATTAAACAAAAGCTTAAATTAATGACTTAAAGGTAGAGGTGTACAGAAATCCGTCATCTCGTTCAACCTAACCCGTTGAATTGCCAACTCGTCAAACCGTCAATTAAGAAACTTGAAATTGGGTTAGGCCTAACTCAATCCACCCAACCCGCCAACAAATCGCTAATATATAATTATCAATAAATTTTTTATTATTTATATATAATATCAGATAAAAATAATAATCGATTTAGACAAATTTACAATTCAATATATATATATATATATATATATATATATATATAAAATACATTTTTATGTTTATAACTTTTACAACCTAAAAATATATATTATACAATTTAGAAAATTAAAGCTCAAATTTTTACAGCCCAAGCTCAAAGTCTAACACTACGAAAATTGGATCTGCTCTCGACTTACACGGCATAACATGATAGCAAGAGTATGAAACTCGACCTCACTGCTTTCGGGTTCATGAATTTGTTGTGCACTTACTAGTATATCAGGTTCTTTCCAAATTGTTGTCTACCCTTAATTCAGGTGCCTACGGAACAGGGTCCTTAGAGAAAAGATGCTTTGTAGAACTAAAATTGTTTTTAGAAGAGAATTTCGATTGTGCACGGTATGGTAGACGTCCCTATTTTTGAAAACCTTATTATAATTTCTTATTTTCTTAGTACTTTGTTTTCCCATGCGGCACACTCCAATAAGTTGCATTTCCTTTTTTAGCACGTAGAATTACATATTGCTGCGATAATATGAAAAAGATTATCAAACCGTTCAATTTGCCACAACCTGCATTTGTTTCTAAAAAAATACGGTATTTTGTTGTATAAAAAAATACAGTTCCTTTTTCTTTTATAAATATTTGTTTGTAACATTTTTTACAAAACATTATGAGATTCTTTGCAATTTATACGCTTTAAAGCATTTTAATGACCAATTAAAGAAATTTATTACACCTTATCAAGTTATATTTTTTTTAAAAACTGGTTTTGAGATCAAAAGAAAGACATCTAATTTAATTTAAAAACATATTATCATTTACAGTTTTACACAGTACATATTTTTCTATTAAATGTACCAGATACATAGTATGTTTTTTTAAATTAATTATTTGAAATAAATAAAATATAATATTATTATTGTGTTAGGAATAATGTTAGGTTAGTATTATTAAAATGGGAAGGAAGGGTTGTGGTGAGTTGGTGTTTGTAAGACATGATTGTGGTGAAGGGGGCAACCAATCACTCACCGAATTTTACACTTTATTTTATTTTATGTTTACTTTAGATCTTGTCATTATTTTATTATCAAGAATATAAGTTCAGAAATAGTTAAATAGATGTTAAGGAATCATTTATCAAATTTTTTATCAGATAAGTGTCATCTATCTTACTTGGAACCGTAGATCTTATCCAGTAAGAATGATAATAATGATAAAAAATCTTATTAGGTAAGTGAGGGAGACAACTTTTTACTCGGTAAGCGTTTACCGAGTAAAACATGCTTTACTACATTCCATTTTGATAGCTAAAAATGTCACTTGATAAGGTAAGTGAGGGTGACCGCTCATGCCAATAAGCATATACCCATTAAGCGTTTGGTATACGACCTCTAAGTTTGAATAACATTTTTACATATCACAAGTAAATTATAGGAAAACCTAATAGTTGTTCTATTTTTCATTTCTGAATCATGTCTTGATTTTGATGATTATTAAGGTGATATTACACATTGTATGATCTATTTTTTATATTCAAAGATTATATCAACAGTGAGATACGAATCAATCCCTGTTGGACAAATAAAAAAAAATGAATTGAATAATTCTTGTTTTAATCAGGAAATTCAACTACCGTCTTTTGTTCATGATGACGTTTCTTTTTTAGTTGGTTAGAAATCAAATCGTAGTTGAAAAGAAAACGTTTTTGGCCATTAATGTATTGATCACTTCATTGTCATCGAGTTCATATGTGAATCACATGCGTTCACATATGCATTTATTTGCCGTCTATTTGTAAAAATTACAAAATTATCCCTTTATCTTTCGCATAGTTATTACCAAAACATTGCTAATTCCCCTAGGCATTTGATCAAGCATATGAAGTGCATAACTTTTATGGGGAATGGACGAAATATTATTTTCTTTAATAATCATCACAAAAAGTGTAACATGTTCTCTGCATTAACTTCTTATTGCTTGAGCAATTTTAATAGTCAAAGTATTAACATACTTTTTACCCTTTTTTTTATTAATCATTAGAACCACAGTTCTTGTTTGTTGCTTGTTTCTTATCACACGAATAAGGCTTCGACGAGACAGATCTAAGCTTCTACTGGAGATGGTGAAGGATTCTCGATGGAGATAATATACACTCTACAATACATATCCAACTAAACCTAATACAGAAAAGAAAAGGGATGACACAAAGATGAAGAAACCTAATACATAAAAGAAAAGGGATGACACAAAGATGAAGAAAGGGATGCCAGATTTCCAAAACCCTAAAATAAAAACAAATTGAAATAAAGATGAAAAAAGGGACAAAATCATACATAACCATAAGCAAAATGAAATAAATATATGCCCTAATCGAACTCCAAGATCGAGGAGCAGAGATGGAGGGCTACATCAATCAATAGGTAGGCTTTAGTTTTGAATAAGAAAACAAGGAGTAGATCGAGAAGCAGAGATGGAGAAGGACGGTGTGTAGGTTCAAATGGCGCGAAGGACAACACTTTTGAACTTCAAATCAACCAAAAAGTGTAGATCGTAAGCCTTGCTTAAACTTCAAATCAACTGAGAAAGGAGTAGATCGAGAACGACGAGTTCAGTTCATATGGGAAGAACAACAAGAGTAACTTGTGTTGGTTTGCATCGCAAGAAAAACAATGGCAGATGGAGAAGAGAAGATGGAATCAGAGATATAAGTTGTAAACAAACAATCAAGTATGATTGAACAAATAACTCCTAAACAAACCACTCATAAGTAATAAATAATTAGTTTGTAACCGACTTCGAATAATCCATAAAACAAACAACTGAAAGAACGGACTATGTGATGGAGGTATATATGATACTCTAAGAGATACAAGACACAAATCGAATAAACAAGAAAATAATACATGAACATCTGGTTAGGGATGGTGATTTACCCTGACCCGACGGGGAACCCTGTTCACCTGACCCGAACAGGAATGGGGATTCCCCGCTAAAATGGGTCTCGGGGCCGGAGTCGGAGCTAGGGATCCCCGGTAGACTTAAACTAACATATATTATTCACGGGAGTTTGACCGGGGACGAGATATTAATCCCCATACCCGTCGGGGACCGAGGCTGGGGGATGTTACTACAAACCGGGGCCGGGGATTACAAACTCATTACAAAAGAAACAAAAACAAACATTGAATTGGAAGATAAATACTTCTTAAGATTATAATTGCATATTTGAATGCAGAAGGACCAAATGTGGGTTTAAGTATAAGTATAGGGGCTAGTTATGTCATTCCCGGATGGGTCAACCCAAGACCCGAGCAGGTCATGATATTGCTCGCAACCAAACAACCAAAATTCTCTAAGGCCCAAAAAACGAAAACCCCTCTTCGCCGTTATCATATAAAATCCCTTCATCGCCTTTTTTGTATAAAAACCCCTTCTCAATCTCACTCCCGACTCTCCGATTTCAATATCGCCGGCGGTTCATTCATTAGCTACAATGGCAAGCACCGATCCCGAGCATAACGAGGAGGAGACCGCCGCCGCTGAAGACGAGGACACCGGAGCACAGGTCGCTCCGATCGTCAAGCTAGAGGAAGTTGCCGTCACTACTGGTGAAGAAAATGAGGATGCTATTCTCGATCTGTAATGTTTTCAATCACGATCTTTGTTTAATCGTTTTGTGGTTTTGTTGTCTTGAGATAACTTTGGTTTTGGATATTCAGTAAAGCGAAATTATATCGATTCGATAAGGATGGAAAACAGTGGAAAGAACGGGGCGCTGGTTCAGTTAAGCTCTTAAAGCACAAAGAAACTGGAAAAGTTCGTCTTGTAATGCGTCAATCTAAAACTTTAAAGATCTGCGCCAATCATCTTGGTATGGGAAGATTATTGTGTTTGTAATGGATTTAATTGAACGGAACATTTCATGAGCTCACATGCTTGGTACTATTGTTGATCTGAATATGTTATTATCGTTGTAGTTATCCCGACTACGTCCATTCAAGAACACGCTGGCAACGACAAGTCATGTGTATGGCACGCTGCTGATTTTTCTGACGGTGAACTGAAGGATGAACTTTTCTGTATTCGTTTTGGATCAGTTGAAAGTAAGTACTTCCAATTGTTTGCGTTTGCTTCCGAGGAGATAGAGTATATTAAGCCTTTCGTCTATGCCATCTATACAGTGTATCTGTCGTATTTAAGTTCATAGATAGCTGCATTCAGATGATCATTTTTATTGGGCTCGTAATTGTGTGGCTGTTTGCCGTATGATATCTAACTGCTTGGATTTGCACGTAATCTTAAACCAAAAGTAGCTTGATACGAAATGTTTTTTGGAGAAATGCGAGGGGATGCATCTACAGTGGTTCAAAAAATAAGTTATTCTTATTTAACAGTTTCAGGAATACATCACATTGCTTTGCATGCTGACCCGAATTGTCCTATCTGTGTGTAGTTGTTAATTATTTTGTGTGATTTGTGATTGTTTATCTTGTGTGCAAGCAAGTTGGTGCAAAATGAGTTCATGTTATTCTATGGTGTGTTCAAATCGAGAAGTTTAGATCGTTTTTGTCCTTTATTCTGGTCTTACTTTCTTTGCTATTTGGCATCACTTTCTGGAAGTTATTAAGTCATATTTTGTGGTTACACATTGAAGAAGCAGGATGCTATTGTTAAGAACAAAAAATATATAACCTGCATAAGAAATCCTGGAGAATGAGTTGATTGAATAGCCTTGCAAGCAATTAACGAGGAGAGGTAACATCCATGTTCTACACTAACAAAGAATTGCACAAATAAAGAGTCAAAGTAGAAAACCGACTAGCCTAGGTAAAAGGAACTAAAATTGAACTGTAAACCAACCTAATACTTGTCAGCTATGATGAATTTTAGATTCATGTAGTAATCTATTCCAATCTTTTTAAGAAGATGTGCTGTCTTGCAGATTATATCTGAAGCTCACAGCTGTTTTTTACTATTTGTTTTGTTTTGTTTTCTTTTGTTTGTGTTTCTTTCATTCTGCTTGGGCTTAGTTGTGAACGTTTGTCTTTTTTCCAACACGAGTAATTGTTTAATCCTTGAAGTAGTAACCATGTGACTGTCTATTCCCAATGTGTTTGATATGGACTTGGTGTCTCATGATCCAAGATCCGATTCTCATTAAGACACTATAGATTCCATGGGGCCATATCTGTTAGCTGACACAGCTAAGATCTGGGTTATGTGAAGGGACGTTTTGGATGGACCTTGTCGACTAGTTGGGCTAAAGGTGTTGGATACCATGGTAACATGGTTATTTAAAAAAAGGTGATGGTGCCATAGTTCTTGGTTATTTTCCTCTTGTTCCTTGAAGTACTCTTCCTTGTTAGTTTTGAGTTGCTCATAGTATATAGCAATCTGTTTGTTTATTTCAAATTTATAACCGATAAAATACGTCTGGAAAGGAAGGATGGATATGATGTCATTGGTAGGTCTGAGCAGGATCTTGTTTCTGACAGTGGTAAAATCCTGAAGAGGGCACTAAGTTATGGTCTTGAGACCTTTGCAAGATCTTTATTGCATTTATGCCATTGTGTACACTTGTTGAAGGGCTATAAAACAAGGGTAGGGCAGTTTCTAGCATTGAGTGTGTCTTTTTTTTTGGAACCCCCCCCTTCTCTTATTTATCACTATGTCTTACCGGATGAAGAGGTTAGGCTATGTTATGAACAGGAGCCTAAATCAGTAACAAACTAAGAATGAAGATGGAAACAGATTAATTGGGTGGTTACTTGAATGGTCTAGCAATTCAAGAGTGCTAGTCTCTCCTAAATGAACTCACTATTTTCTGCAGGCCCTACACCACCTACATCATCCTTCTTTATACTAGATTTATTGTAAGTAACTACCCAAAATACCCTTTCTAACCCCTTATAGAATATCAAGTATGGATGGGCTTGGGCCTAAGGTGGATACATGACAGGCTAATAGGACTGTTAGGACTGTTTTTTTCTGCTATAAGAACTTAAAACTTCTTGCCTTCCTCTTATTGGACAATTGGACAAGAGGCAAACCCATATCTTATTAAGCTAACCCTATGTACTCAGAGAATGCGATTCCTCTGCAGCTACAGTTTTTAAGAACTGGCCCCAATACATCTTGTATGCATATACTATATATAACATATTTTAACACAGTTAAAGATAATCCATATATTGGGATGGACAGAGTGACCATTACAGCCGAGATCTTTGATTGTATTTAGACTTTAGAAAACAAAAGGACTAGTGATCGAGTCTTCAAAGAAGGGATTTTACCTTGAACAGTACTTCTTCAATGGTGATAGGAGTTTCTGCTATAAAGCAAGAGCCTCTTAATGCAATCTTATTTTCCTAAAATCTCTTTGTAGCCTTGTTATTCACTTTGCAGTTTATATAGACATTATTTTGAGGTCCAATTTTTAATGAACTTTTGATTTTACTAATTTATTTTATTATGTTAATTAATTTACTAATAATTATTTATTTATTAAAAATATTTAATGCATGGTTAAATTAAAAATAAAATCT